AAGAAATATAATGGTATAACTGTTTCTTCACCTTCTTGTGAATGTACATATATTAATATGCGAAAAAAAATTTATCGTAATATGTTATTGTATACATTAAAATATTATTTAATTTTTTTATAACTAGCATATAATTATTATTTAAATATATATAAAGTTTAAAATCTCAATAAGTGTTGATTCAAATCAAAAGTGCATTTTCATTATTTTCGTCAAGATAACGTTTGTGACATTTTTTTGAAATAAATTTATTATTTCGATTATTCATTAAACATGAAATTACGTTATTTGATAGTCGCCACAGTTACAGATTTCATTGTTAGAAAAGAAAAAATCAAATAAAAGATTATGCAAAAGTTTAAACGTAATATCGTCTCGAAGAATAATTTTGTTTCTTTTAATTTATCCATGGAATATGCAGATTTCTGAATATGGAACCGACTTTTATGCTAAAAAAAAAGATACTTAACACTCCACAATCTATGTGGATTATAATGTTTATTTTACAAATAAATTTTTTAATATTTTTTTCTCAGTGTAGTCATCGGTGATGAACGTAACTCGGCGACAATTAAAGACGAATAAAGAAAAAGATCGAAGGACAGATTGGCTCACCTTTTCTGCCGTTCCACGATGCGTGGTATTGCCTTGCCAGAATCGCCTGCTGAAGCCCTTCACGTAGCCGGTCTTGCTTTTCGTGTACGCGAAACCAGGATGCCAACAAAGCGATCCGTATCCGAATACCCAGAGCTCGTTTCCTTCCGTACGATTCATGTTCTCTCTTGTGAAAAAGAAAGTGAGCCGATGACCGAGCTGTGTTTCTTCCTTACTTCTTCCTTTATTTTTTCCCTTTTTATTTTTTTCTTCTCTTATTTCTGATAATATTGAAGTTCCAGAATACGCTTTTAAATTAAAAACTTATTGTCCCACGATACGTTTTTTAATATCTGCCGTTTTAACGACGTAAAAAGAATTATCGTTTGTGATTATATTCTTTTACTACAAAATAATTATACAAATTTTCTTGTAAATATCATCGTCAAAATTAAAAATCATTCATTCAATCACCTCTGAATTGTTAATAAATTTCTCTCAAAATTCTCGGAGATTGAGTCTCTTCATATAAAATCTATTTAAATTCGAATGGTCTTATGTGTTTTCTTTTCTAGTATACAATAAATTTTTTTTTCTAAAGTTCTATTCCAGTCGCAGAAAATTGCCGCTATATATATATATATATATATATATATATATATATATATATATATAGAATAGTTCTTCGCTGGATCTTTATTGGCGGCAACTCCGAATAATCGAATTAATAACAACTTAAGTTTCACTTTAAACAAGTTTCACTTTAAATGATTCAATCCTCAACACTAAATCAATTCTCGATCATCGCGCTGATGCATGCGTTTGCGTCTCTGGATCCCCCGCAGATAACTCGCGGTGATTTCAATTTATTAATTCGCAAATTTCGGCTAACCGGATATCATAACGATGAGATGCTCCTCTTTCGCGCCATCCTGGTTGTCCACGTATTTACTCTATAATGATGAGCTGAATCCTCAAAATCGATTTTGGATCAAGTCAGTCCAAGTTGGTCGGGAAAATCCGTTCCGAGAAGATCGATGTTTCGACAACTGTTCCGCGATCTCAACTAAATGTATGCTCAAGTATTTCTCAGACATTTAGAGGATCTCGAAGGAAAGGCGAATCACCTGGGAAGGTCCGATGAGAACTGCCGGCTGACTGTAGTAGCCGTGGTAGCCGGTTAGTATTTGGTGAACTAGACCAGATGCACGCTGACAGGAGGAAGAGAGAAAGATATCAAGAGAGTACAGCGCGAGTCGAGGAAGACAGAGAAAAGTAGTGGAGTACACGCCAGCAGGAGTCATGGTGGGGATGGATGATGAAACGAACCGCCAGATTGACGCACCGGATGTGCGTGAGCATTCAGTTGAGCGAATTAATCTGAAGACGTGTCGATTCGTATTATCAAAGTATCTGGTAGAGACAATTGGTTTCATAGCACGTGTTTAAATGTTTGAAATACAGGAAGGTACGCGCGACCCAGAACGTGAAGGATTTCAAAAACAAATTTCGTCAGTTGTTCAATTTATCCGATCGCAGGACAAAAATCTAAACATTGGTTTACGGAATAAAATATTCTGATGATTTGTTTGATACATGCGATATATAAAGTTTTATTTGTTAGTTAGAACCCATGCACATTCCTTCAAATTATTTAAAACTATAAGACCTATAGTTAGAATTACAAAATAAGATTCCGTTTATTTAAAGAAAAGATTATAATACAAATTTGTTATCTCTCTTGAGGCGTGTCAGATTCGGAAAACACTTTGTCTAGAAGTTCGGAACACATATCAATCTCGTCCTGATTTTCCACAGATTTTAATTCTGTCAATAATTGCTGCAAAGTGGATTTTAAACACAATTGTGATCGACGACATTCCTTTAGTGCCGGTAAAAAGTTATCGTTTACCATACCACTGAGCACTCTCAATAATTGTTCCCTACAATAAAAGAATACTGGATTTATATCGTAGGAAAACATTAAAAATTTTGATGTCCCTTGAAATGTCAAATAAGTTACCTGACTGTCGGCTGTAAATTCATTCTACCCAATAATCCTGCTGATTGCTCTATGAATCCCATTTTTACTAAGGTATATTTTATGTCGTTCGAATTATTTCTACTGCACAAGCTAGAAAGTAAGAATGCAGATTTTATCTGTAGTTTCTCCACTGAGCTCTGCATTGCCCGTAATAGCACCGAGTAACCGTCGTTTGTATCTATATACTTTAATGACGTTGGATGTCCTCTTACTATACCTATATTCAAAATATAATCAATGAGATATAAAAAACTAAACTTCACGTCATACCATTACTTACATGACACTGCATACAGAGCTTTTATCCTGGCCTGTTCCGATGGATCTGTATCAATCATAGATAATAACACAGGAAATACTCCAGCTTCCAATAATTTGTCTTGACAAAACGGATTATTTTGCGCTAATTCAGCGATAATATCGGCTATTCGCCATCTAATATTACTGTGCGAGGAATTCAAGCATGGTTGAAATATCGAGAAACCTCCAATCTTATAAAAGTCATTGGCTATATCGATATTATCTACCAAATCTGCCATCCTTTCCAATACATTCTCATACTCCGACGAATCATCATCTGCTCGCAGATTATTAACATTAGATAAAATTTGTACAGCTTTCTGCAATTCCTCTATTACGTTTACTGTTAAGGATGATAACGCCTCATTCAAGAATGTTTTTTTCTACAAAATATAAGTGTATCTCATTAAATATAGACAATAAACAAACAAATAGCACATATAATTTTAAATTAAATTTCGTACTTCTTCGTCCAAAGGATAAACTTGCGGTTTATTCTCCAGTTCTTCAGACTGTGCTGCATCCATAGCATATTTGAGTAATCCTTGCAAATTAGTTGGTTGCCTCGGTTGATTTGGTAACGGTTGCGGTGGAATTTGCTCGGTGTTATTGGAGGTCGAGGGACCTTCGATGGAAAGCGGTCGTGCATTGCTGTTTGTCTGACCTTGCTTGACTTGATCTTTTTTTGGTTCTTTGTTCTCAGGACTGATGCAAAAGATATTTGTTTACGTAAAACGTAGGTGATTGGGTTTAGATTAGTCGCGCGCAGTATTAAAAATAATATTTACATACTTGTTCATTTTGACACTATTCTGTTTAACGAATGATGTGCCCATTAATTGAAAACACTGTTTAAAATCAACCTCTTCGCGAACAATCCTCGACTACTTATTCTGATTCACTGCATGTCTTTTTATGGATTTTATATTTCTGTATCCAGGAATTTCACTAATATACGAGATGTCGCTGGATGTCTGTTCTGTGCTGGTCTGCTGGATTTTGCATTACAATTATATGCAAATGTTATATATATTCGGGCAGAGAGAAATAAACCAATAGAAATCTAGAGTTGAATGGACATGCTCGTATTTTTTTTTATATTATTTTTATATAGGAACCATTTAAAGTAAACTTCAATCTTTCCTCTTTGATCTTTTTGATATAAGACGATTCCGCGTTTAGCTTTTAGGTTAGGTGACCTCCACAAAGTCTTGTCTATTAACGCCTCTAGGTGCACAAAATGAATTACATAGCCATACCCATGAATATTCTGATGAATAACATATGTTTTATGTCCACGATCTTTTGATTTTATTTCGTACTATGACCATGATTTTTGCAAGATATACAATTTGTATATATTTTTTGTAAAGCAACAATGCCTTTTTTTTACATTGTATAATAATAAGATAATTGATTTATCTTATTATTCTGTATATATTATTTTAAAAGTATTAACAGTTATCAAAAAATTAATGATTTATAAGATATTTTATATATGTTTCATTCGAAATTAATAAAAAGAATATTGTTTTCTTATTAAATAAATGCATACTTATTCAAACATTAAAACATAAATTGATACAGTACATGATTTTTATTATATTAAACTTATTTTTTCTACATTCTTACAAAACACTAGCAATGGTACAGTAATATAATAAAGGATGTATCCGTGTCATCAAATATTTGTAATTACAAAATTAAGATGTTTTAGGAGACCTATGTCTTCTTTTAACTTTATTCTTGGTTTAATTTATTTGTTATCTTTTTGTTAGAACTATAAAAAGATAAAAAGTAAGTTAAACTGAGATTGAAGTTAATCACTGGTAGATAGATATTCATACAATAATGCATCGTTTTAATGAGACAGACTATTAATAACTATAAATGTATATTTTAACTGCAATATATATGTGGACATGAATTTTTCCTTTTTTGACAATATATATTTTTTACATGTATGCTGATATTGATTCCTGATAAAAAACTTGCACGAAAATACAATTACCTATTATTAATTATACTGATGTGATGTAAACACATCAAATTGCAGTTTATTCAATTAAACGAAATAATGTGGTTTCTTCACTATTATGCCATATTCCGCAACTGCTGGTGTCAGATCTTCCATAGTCAGAGTGTAACGTCGGTCTTTTCCTTTTGTTTTTGTATTCTGATTGGCACCACGTGTTTTACAGTGCTGCAGCGCATCGTTGGCAATTTCTGAGATAAACTTTTGTGCTGCTAATGACACCAGGCGTACTCTAAAATAACAAGACGTCATATAACAACATGTAACATTATTTAATAAATTTACTAAATAAATATTACATGTTCAGTCAACGAAACTTTTTTAACTAACTACAGGATGATTTAAACACAGTATTGTGATTGTACTTACATCCTAGGATCTATAGCGTTGAAACCAGCCGTGTGCAAGTAATGTTCAGTGATGGCATCAGGTACCTAACGTTAACATTATAAAATAACAAACATAATTAATTGCTCAAGTACAACTTAATTTTTTTTAGAAAAACTTATATTATAAAGAAGATGGATATATATAGATACCGTAGGTGTATAATCCTCCAATTGCATCAAGAAATCTGACAACGGTTGTCCCGCAGTCTTTGTCTCCTCGTTATAAATCGGCGAGGTTTCCTTCCCGAAATTTTCTGCCATTTTTTGTGTAATGTGAAATAAAACTATGCTCCGAACTATGCTATGAATTCCTAACCTAAATCATTAACGTGAAAACGAACTATTTTACTATTCTGTAATTTTCCTCTCTTATACTTAGTGATTTCTATCTTTTTTTTTTTTTTTATAAATGTTTCCTCTTGAGAGCAGTAATATTTTTTAATGTGTCAATAAATATATATAAATATATATACGCGAATTTTTTTAGGTTTAAAAGCACAAGCAGTTTGAAGTTTGGAGTGTTTAGATGCGTAAAAATATGTAAAAGTTACATACATACATATGTACGTATACACATTTACACCAGTCAATGCACTAGGTCTGTTCTTTTTTGAAGAATTCTGAACTAATTTTGGAGTACATTCCAAACCAAAACGTCTTCTCCGAGAAAAATTTACTTCCTAAACTAATGCAATAAGTTAGAATGAAACAAATTGTAACTGTCTCTTCTCTCTGTCTGTAACTTTAACTTGTTCTGAACACTAGTTCAGAACTTGAGATGAAAAAAGAACAGATCTACTGTGTACATATGCGTGCATAACCTAACCTAATCCCAGTTGGAGCATTGTTTTAAATCAACGATACTAACAACTGTAAAAAATGTGACTGTAATAATAAAAAAATAACTTACAAATAATCGTAAACGATCATTTAATTCAAAATATTATAGGATACTTATTATTAAGTGAGTCAATAACAGAATTAAGAATGAAAACATAACTCGATTCGTATTAAATTGCAACTTATTTTCTTTATTATAACAGAAATTTATGTAAGTTAATAAGTATATATATTATTCTCCTTTTAAAAATTATGGTGATTATTACGACTAGAGAGTGACTTATATATAACTATAATTCTTAATATATAACAATCATATTTTTAAGGATGGCATCCGAGGATGTCAATTCTCATACGATATTAAATGCTTCGGAAGAAACTGGACAGTCTGTTACCAATATATCACAGGAAAGTAATAATAAAGATGTAAATTCAAGTAAGCCACAGACTCAAGGAAATCCAACAAGTAATCTCCAGAGGATACAACAACGCAAGCAGCAGACGTACAACTGGCCACAAGAAAAGAAATTGTTAAAGCTTGCGAATTACAGTGCTTGTCAAACACAGGATTGTAAATGTACAGGCTGGAAAAATGCACAGCCAATTATAAAATCACCAAAGGGCGAAATACAGCAGCCTCTTATAAGTTTTTCAGATCCATGTAAGATGTGTATTCATCCTTTGGAAAACCACATCAAACATTTACCAGTTCAATCTGATGATGAAATTAACAGATTACTGGGTATGGCTATAGATGCAGATAATATTTTAACATGTACACATAGGGAAGTAGATCCCGATACCAAGAAGGTTTATTTTTATTTATATAAATTATTGAGGAATTGTATCTTGTCTATGACAAAGCCAGCCATAGAAGGTCCCTTAGGACAGCCGCCATTCGAAAGACCTAACATGGCAAAAGCCGTAATGAATTTTGTTTTATATAAATTTAGTCATTTACCACCGGCAGATTGGCAAATTATGTGTGATATGGCAAAGATGTTTTTACATTGCCTGAATTTCTGGAATTTTGAAGCGCCCAGTGCCAGACAAGCAACAATTAATGCGGACGAAGCTCCTGCTTACAAAATTAATTATACCCGCTGGCTAGTTTTTTGCCACGTTCCTGCATTTTGTGACTCTTTACCACATTATGATACTCCTTTAGTTTTTGGAAAAACTCTATTGCAAGCCGTATTCAAACCACTTTGTAGAGAATTAATGAATAAGTGTCATAATGAAAGAGACAAAATAACACCGGAGAAGAGAATTATAGTTTTAACGCATTTTCCTAAGTATGTATTAAGTTTTTTCTCTTTTATATTCATTTTTAATTATAACAAAAATTACATGATTCTTTGTATTTAAGGTTTCTTTCAGCTCTAGAAACTGAGATTTATTCTGATAGTTCACCTATGTGGGATCCTGAATTTAAACAAGCACCACCGTCTCATGTGCAAGCTGCCTTAGAATCAAAAGCACAAGCAAGAAAGACAGGAGAATTTGAAAAAGTCATTATTACACCGAACGAGAAAGATAATTATACAACGATAAACATTAGCCCTGGGATAAGAAGACTTTCTGAAAAACGTTTTTATTTCGAAGGACGACCCGATGCAAAGAAACGGAAAAATGAAGAAGTTTTTGAAGATTTACCAGATGAAACTGTTGCTGAAATTGTTGCAACTATTAATGATCCCAATTATATGTATGGACCTGATGCAGTATTTCCTCCGGATGTTCCACGAGACGAGACTGCTAAAATTGAAGAAAGCAGAAAAATCATAGAGTTCCATATTGTCGGAAATAGTCTGACACAGCCAGTATCTAAGCAAACTATGCTTTGGTTAATAGGATTGCATAATGTATTCAGTCATCAATTAGTTAGAATGCCCAAAGAATATATATCTCAATTTGTTTTCGATCCGTGAGTATTATCCAAAAATAATATGTTAATTTATTGTAAAAATTTATTTAGTAATAATCTATTCCTTATTAACATAGGAAACATAAAACATTGGCCCTGATAAAAAGTGGTCGTCCAATCGGCGGTATCTGTTTTCGCATGTTTCCTACTCAGGGTTTTACCGAGATTGTATTTTGCGCTGTTACGAGCCAAGAGCAAGTAAAAGGCTATGGAACACATTTAATGAATATGCTAAAAGATTATCACATCAAAAATAACATACTGCATTTTCTTACGTTTGCGGATGAGTTTGCTATTGGATATTTTAAAAAGCAAGGATTTAGCAAAGATATAAAACTGCCGAAGCCGATGTACCATGGATATATCAAAGATTATGAAGGAGCGACATTGATGCATTGTGAATTAAATGCTAAAATAGTATATACTGAATTTACAGCAGTATTAAGGAAACAAAAAGAAATAGTTAAAAAATTAATTTATCAAAGACAACAGGATATACAAAAGATTCATCCGGGCTTAACATGTTTCAAAGATGGTGTAAAAAGTATTCCTGTCGAATCCATTCCAGGAATTCGTGAAACCGGATGGAAGAATTACGCTCAGACAAGAACAAGAGGTGTGGTCAAAGGAACGCAAGGTTCGGATCTTATAGATTGTATGGATATGTCAGAGTCTCTTTATAACACTTTAAACAGTGTTTTGAATAGCGTGAAGAATCACATCTCAGCCTGGCCATTTCTAGAACCTGTAGACAAGGACAATGTTCCAGATTACTATGATCATATAAAATATCCAATGGGTGAGCACATAGAAGATATAATATATTTTAAAATAATCAAAGTAGTTTTTAATAATAAAATATTAAATATAAATTTAAAAAAATGTTAAAATGGAAAAACTTAATAATAAATCAGAAACTAATGATACATAATTTTTTATATTGCAGATCTCAAGACTATGGAAGATCGTTTGAAGTCTAAATACTATGTAACTAGAAGATTATTTATTGCTGACATGACACGAATTTTTACAAATTGTAGATTGTACAATAGTCTTGAAACCGATTATTATCGTTGCGCCAATGCTCTAGAAAAATACTTTCAGACACGTATGAAAGAAATTGGTCTATGGGACAAGTAGAATTTTTTGTATCTTATAATATAAAAAAAGACCAAAAAATTATAATAATTTGTTGTTTATTGTTTATTCCTCTACTTAGCTACTTAGGACAGTTGTCGAAAGTTGGCTAAAAAAATAGCTACATTAAAATTTTTTCTTTGTGAAATTTTTGAATTTAAAATTTGATACTGCATATGTAAATCTAATATAATAAAAATTCAGATTTCAAAAAAATTTGTTTATATTAGAGGGAATTTAAATCACAATAGCCAAAATAAAGAATAAATAAAGATTTAAATCCATATGTGTGTGTGTGTGGCAGAAATTGAAAGAATACTTTAAAGTTCAAACGATAGCCAATCATCTTCCGATATATATTATTATTATTTCCATAAAACAAAACAATTGGCCATTGCGTGGACATGCGTTATATCGCTACATTTATTGGTGAAACAAATGTAACGGTGTGTAAGAGACATGGGGCGGGGGGGGGAGTTCATATAACCTAACCTAATCTGTCAAATTGTCCTATATATCGATATAATGATAACACAAGAATTGTAGAGAATCGTAGAGAATGCTAGTTTATAACGGCATAACAGTTCTGCTGATATCGTAATTGTTTATTTAAATCACAATATCATTATTGAATAGTCGAGTATAAATGTCATTGAGAGTAGAAACGTATAATTAATTCGATTCATATAAAATTGCGATTTAATTTCCTTGTACTTTAGAAGGAACTTTTTAATGTGTGTATAAGTTCATGTAAGTTGCCTAAAAATTATTACGATTATGATACGATACTACGGATTCCTATATAAGTACAACTTGTTCAATCCATAACATGAAATATTATAATGATTTTTTGTAGAATGGCATCCGAAGACATCAATTCTCATGCAAGCGCTTCCTCGGAAGAGACTGGACAATCTGCCAGCAGTAATCTGCAACAAGAAAGTAATACCAAGGATGCAAATTCAGCTAAACCGCAGGCTCAAGTAAATCGCACAAGTAATCTCCAAAGGATACATCAACGCAAGCAGCAAACATACAACTGGCCACAAGAAAAGAAACTGTTGAAGCTTGCGAATTACAGTGCTTGTCAAGCAGAGGAATGTAAATGTACTGGCTGGAAAAACGCTCAACCAATTATAAAATCACCAAAGGGCGAGATACAACAGCCTGTTATAAATTTTTTTGATCCATGTAAGATGTGTGCTCATCCTTTAGAAAATCATATCAAACATTTACCAGTTCAATCTGACGAGGAAATCAATCGATTATTGGGAATGGCTATTGATGCTGACAATATTTTTGCATGTACGCACAGAGAAGTAGATCCCGATACTAAGAAAGTATATATTTATTTGTACAAATTGTTGAGAAATTGTATCTTGTCTATGACAAAGCCAACCGTGGAAGGCCCGTTAGGGCAACCACCCTTTGAAAGACCTAATATAGCGAAAGCAGTAATGAACTTTGTTTTGTATAAATTTAGTCATTTGCCGTCGAGAGAATGGCAGATTATGTATGACATGGCAAAGATGCTTTTACACTGCCTGAATTTTTGGAATTTTGAAGCACCTAGTGCCAGACGGTTAACAATTAATACAGATGAGGCTCCTGCTTATAAAATTAATTATACCCGCTGGCTTGTTTTTTGTCATGTACCTGCATTTTGTGACTCCTTACCACATTATGACACTCCTTTGGTTTTTGGGAAAACCTTATTACAAGCTGTATTTAGATCAGTTTGCAGACAATTAATGGATAAGTGTAATAATGAAAGAGATAAAATTGCACCGGAGAAAAGAGTTTTAGTTTTAACACATTTTCCCAA